CTGACAGCCTGCTTCTGACAGCTGGGCGGAGCCAGCCGTGATCTTACGGCTGGCTTCGGCCACTTGCAGAGAGATCAGCGTCCCTGGTTACCAGCTAACCAGCGACACTGATCTCCAGACAGCAAACGGCCGCCAAGGAGAGAAACACTGCTTTTCTTTTTTTTTTCTTATTCTGACACGGAGCTGTGTCAGAATAGAAAAAAAAAAATTGGCCATAGGAATGCATTGCTAGATTCCTATTGGCTATTTTAATTTGCAATAGCCAATAGCAAACTAGCATTGCACCTGCCCTCTGCTGCAGTTCTCCATTAGGTCTGGAAGGACCTATATATATACTGGAATGTTCTAACTGCCCCCTATAAGTCAAATTTTGTACTGCAAAGAACAGCAGATTGCCATAAAGCTGACTTGATCAACTAGATCTATCCCTGTTCAATCCTACGAAGCATGCATGTCCATTTAGAAGATATAGTGCTGTATAAATTACCCCAGTGCAATCAGCTGATCTCTCTCTTGGAAACTTCCCAGCCCTTTCCTCACTTCATGTAAAAGCTTTGTGCCTTGAAATCCACTTCCACGTCCATCAAATTTTACGACTATTGTGCTGTAGGAACTGACCAGCACAGTTGTCCAATCAATTTGAAACTTCTCTGACACGCTTTGACTTCCTGGGCTTCCATCACTAAAACAGAAATAAAACAGACACATTTCTTATATAGAGCACATCCTTAATAATAGAATGCCTAGGTCAGAGGGTTTGTTTCACAGCACAATTTCACTTTGCCTTTGAGGATAATTCCCAGGTCAGAGTTATACTTTGCCACCAAGGGATTCTGCCTCTGCATGGTCCTTCCACAGTGATTTTACATCTGCATCATACAGATTGGTCTTCCCTCTGTGAGATCCCATCTCCACCACACAGACTGATTTTCCCCCTATTGAAATCCCACCTCCACCATACAGACTGATCTTTCCCTAGTGAGATCCCACCTCCACCATACAAACTGATTTCCCCCCATTAAGATCCCACCTCCACCATACAGACTGATCTTTCCCCAGTAAGATCCCACCTCCAGCACACACTTACACACTTTCCAGCCCCGGCATACTGTAGTCTGGAGGTTCAGCACTCAGCAGAGTGAAGAATCTGTAGAGACCAGGATTGTGTGTGTGCGTGAGGACACATTGGTCTTTTCCACTGTATCTAGCCACCAGTACACACTGTAATTACTCTTCCATGTCCTCTCCTGCATATACTGGCCACTGTTATACCCTCCAAACTCTTTTCCTGCATATACAGCCTGCTGCAATACCCTCTGCACATATCTCCTACGCATACAGCCTCCTGTTATTCCATTCACATTATTTTCCAGCATATATTGCCCCCTTGGACCCTTATTAAACATTGTTTCCATGTGTCCAATGTTTCGGGCACACTTTTGTTAGTATAAGGGTTTCTAAAAAATTCATTACAAAGAGTTAATGATGTGCAAATTGTAGCCGGCAATTCTAGCCACAGCTGAAAATTAGCATGATGCTTAAGGATCAGTTCACCCAAAAGTGATATGAAACATATTGGGCTGAACTAATCCCTGGCTTCCTTTATGTCTTGGACATTGCAACAGTGAGATCTCCCTACTGTAATTACTGACTCAGTTTTTGTCCACTGAGAAATGTTGCATGTTTCCATCTCTATATGTCAACATTTCCTGGTACATTCTCTATTATATGGTAGTACTAGCACAACAAACATTTAGAATGATCAGCATTCCATCACTGGACCCTATTGGCACACAACCTTAGGTGCCCAAAGCAGCATTCCTCTGCTAGGATCTCCTCTTTCCCTTACTTTGTGTCCGGAGGCAGCTGTGTGAATAACCGTCCTGAAGTAAAGTGAGCCGAGCGCTGTTGGTCTATTCACTTCAGACTTGTACAGCTGATATTCAGCCGTATAAAGGCTTGCTTCGGCTGGCTTTGGGTCGGCCGAACATGCTCAGCATGTTCAGCCGACCCGAAGTGCAGAAGGAGTTCGACTAAGCCGATCCCACAACTGGATCGGCTGAGCCGAACCTCCGGCAGGCTACTCACTGCTGTTCGGCCTATTCTCATAGGGGCCGAATAGCAGTGAGTGAATAGCCGAATTCGGCTCGGCTATTCTGCTTGGTAGCTCTGTGGTACCGAGCAGAATAGAAAAACAGTAACAAAAGTAGGAAACAAAAGTAGAAAATTATTGGTGCGGAGCTAGCAGCTGGCTGGTGACAGCTGGCTCCGCCCAACTGTTTTCTATTGGCCGGGACCACTGTAATTACAATGAGAGCTCAGCGAAGCCAGCTTTAATATCACGGCCGGCTCCGCTGAGCTCTCATGACAGTTCAGCGTCCCCTGGCTACCTGGTAACCAGGGGACGCTGAATTGTCATGAGAGCTCAGCAGAGCCGGCGGTGATACCAAAGCCGGCTCTGCTGAGCTCTCATCGTCAGGAGCCTACACTCGCAGGTAGCCATACAGCAGACCTGAGGAGCTGGAGGAAGTGGAAAGGAGCCGCTGCTGCTGTCAAGATGGAGCCGATAACTATTCCCTGAGGGAGCTAAAGAGCCGGCTCCGCAGAGTTCTCATCGTAATGACAGATCAGCGTCCCCTGGTTACCTGGTAAGCAGGGGACGCTGATATGTCATTGCAAGTGGCCGGAGCCAGCCGGGAGATGACAGCTGGCTCTGCCCAGCTGTCAGTAGCAGGCTTTTGGCTGGCCGTTCGGCCCGCTTCGGCTTTCACCTCGGCTCGGTCGAGCCAAAGCATATGCCTCCGGCTCGACCGAGCCGCTCGGCCAACTTCGGGAGCTGTACGGGCTATAGTGAATAGCCCGTACAGCAGCACTTCGGTTCTACTGAACCGAAAGGCTCAGGTGGCCGAAGCTCGCCGAAGGATCAGCCGGAGCTACGGCTGATCCTTCGGATAGCTTTGTGAATAACCCCCTAAGTGAAGATCACTGGTATGGGAAGCAAAGTCAGTACACAACACAGTACACTGTAAGCACGGAGGTAGGGGTGGGCAGGTACATACTGGGCAGGTACATACAGTGCAAGGTCACTAAAAGTGGATGTGTACTTTGCTTCAGGTAGGAAGCTGCATAGCAAAGATTCAGAAAGCACACCACACATTTGAAGAGTTCTTTGGAATCTACAATACATGCCACAACCAACTGCACCACATGTGAAGAGCTCCCTGGAATCTGAATTCAGTACACAGATTACAGTATATTGAGTGGCCTTTCCGCTATCAACACAGCTAAAGTGCTGGCTAGCAAGCAGCTCACTGGCTAGTCCTAAAACTGCTCTTTAATAGGTAATTTATAAATGCTTTGGTTACATCACTCTGGATTGCACCTTTGGTCTTTGTACAATGTTACCGAAAGTGGCAGGCAAACATTTTGCAAGTCCTGAAAATAAGTGTAGTGCCCACAAGTTAATAATAATAATGTTAATATTATTATTAATAATAATAATAATAATAATAATAATAATTACTTAGTTACTAAGTTAGTTAGG